TTTGGCTAAATGTATTTAAATTACTATCATTTCAACATGCAATTCTAAAGAATTAATGACAGTTTACATTATGTATGAAGTCTTTGAAATCTGTACTTTATAAATAAATTCTATTGTGTGTGTTTAAATTATACAATATAATGCTATAGAGGATACAGACAATAAGACAGTTACTGTAGGACAGTGGCAGTGAACCTATGGCACAATTGCCACAGGACCTGTTTGTATCTTTAAAAGATCTAAAAAACTGCTACAGAAAATCAAATTAACCTATCCATCATCTCACATAGTTACTCATTTTTTTGCTATTGTGGCAAAAGCACCTAACATTCAATCACTTGGCAGGAATCCCAAGTAGCATACAACTGTAATAACCAGAGTTCTCTTTGGTACATGAGCCCCGTGGTCCTGTTCCTCTAGCATATCTGCTATTTCGTAACCTCTCACACCTCCTCCTCATGACCTTCCTCCATCTCACTCCTAGTAATCGCTGCTCTAGTCTTTCTAGATAGCTGGACTTTTTTAAATTTTTATTTAATCCCACAGATAAGTGAGATCATGCACTATTTTTCTTTCTGTGCCTGGCTTACTTAGCATAATGTCCTCCACATATACCCATGCGTTGAAAACAGCAGGATCTTTTTCTTTCAAACAAAGATATACACAATGATGTCTCTATGCAGTTTCTCCGGGCACTCATCTGTTGCTGGATGTTCGGGCTGTGCCTGTATCCTTATTGCTGCCACTAACACTGCAATGAACAACCAAGTGCAGCTATCTTTAGAAGGTGGCGATTTCCTTTGGGTCCGTGCCCAGAAGGACTGCTGGGTCACACGCTCGTAGTATGTTTTATTTAGAAATCTCCATATTGTTTTCCATAATGGTGGCACCAATCTACATTCCCAACAGAGAACATGAGTTCCCTTTTCTCCACACTCTTGACAACACTTGTCCTTTTTTGATTGTTTGGTAACAGCCATCCTAATGGGAGTGGGGTCCTATGCCAGGGGTTTTGATTTGCATTTCCCACTGATCAATGCTGTTGATGATCTTTTCATAATCTGTTGACTTCTTTTATGCACTCTTTGAAGAAACATCTAGTGAAGTCTTTTGTCTATTTTTTGTGGGTTACTTACTGTTCTACTAAGTTGTATGAGTTCTTTATGATGTTTAGATATTAATTCCTTATCAGATATTACAAATATATTTCCAATTCATAAGTTGCCATTTCATTTTGTTGATTATTTTCTGTTTTATGCAAAGTTTGTATTTTACACTTACAACACTCACAATTGAGAATTATCGTATTTCCAGTATCCCACAGCCACATGTAACAAGTAATTGCCATATGGAACAATACACACCAATAACAAAAGTGGGTCAAATACTATTACTAAATTTCTGAAGAGAGGAAGAGGGAGGGAAGGTACATAAACACAATTAAGATGTGTTACGTACAAGTATCATTTCCCCATGATGAACATAATTTTTATATGCTACAAACATGTACCAATAAAAATAAAAATTAAAGCTAAGCGTGGTGGCTCATGCCTATAATCTCAACACTCAGGAGGCCGAGGCAGGATTGTTGCAAATTGGAGACCAGCTTGGGCTACAAAGTGAGCTAAGGCCAGCTTGAACTGCATAGTGAGATCCTGTCTCAAAAAGACAGTAAGATAAAATAAATAAATACATACAAAAAATTTCTAAACATAGGTACATAAAGCCCTAAGGATCTAAACAAAAGCAAAATGTCTTTAATGGGAGATGTACATTGATGATAGGGTTAAACTGTAAGAATATCATTTAATACTAATAAAGCATTTATTATGTGCCAGACTATTTTAAATGGTTTTCAAGCATTATTTCATTTGATTATCACAACAATCACTGATGCAAACACTAACAATATCCCCATTTTATATATGCGAAAACTAAGCCAGAAAAGGTAAGCAAACTGTGATCTTAAAATACAACACATGCTATACTATAAGAAAATGTCAATAAAAATCAAAGATTATTTAAAAATCGAAACACAGAAGAGATAGATCTATTTTAAAAGTATAAAATATGGACTAATAAAAACTAGCTTTTGGAATTAACAAGGTTTTTAAATTGAATTCTTATATAATAAGTTTCTACAGCATGCCTCAATCTCCAAACCATACAATTTTGGATTAGAGTTTGTATTTCCACAAGTATTTAATTTAAGGGCTGGGGATTTAGCTCAGCAGTATAAGCGCCTACCCAGCAGGTGCCAGATCATGAGTTTGATTCCCGGTACCAAAAAAAAAAAAAAACCTCTAATTTAATTTTATACTACTAACATAATATGTTTATTAAAAATTGCAGTTTTAGCTTAAAGAAAAAAATTGTTGCAATAGCAAAGATTCCCCAGTAGTGTACTGATTCCAAGAGTTACACTTTCCTTTTTTGAACGTCTTACTGTATTTATTTTATCATGCTAATTTCTTTTTTTTTTTTTTTTTGTCTTTTTTCCTTTTTATTGGTACCAGGGATAGAACTCTCGACCGCCTCCTCGCAAGGCAGGCACTTATACCACTGAGCTAAATCCCCAGCCCCTATCATGCTAATTTCATTTCTTTAATAGTCTCATTCTCTTTTATGGAAGGAAGCAGGGCTTATCTTTTTCCCATTCGCCTATCATTTCAAAGAATGAAAAAGTATGCTACAATAGCCAAGAATAGAACTAGTTTCTTTCACATATTTCAATTCTAAGGGGGAAAAAAAAGAGAAAATGTAGTATAGTATTGAAAAACACAGTAGTAGAGTCCACTGTACTCTAAGATTTTTAGCTAAAGCAAGGACATAAGGCTTACCTTTACATGTTCATACCATGAGCAGATAAGACAAACATTGAAAGTTCAGATAAAAAGCTAGATATACCTTCAAAAAATAACATTCAAAACATTCCTCTAAACTGGGCGTGGTGGTGCATGCCTGCAATCCCAGCACTTGGGAGGCGGAGGCAGCAGGACTGCTGTGAGTTTGAGGTCAGCTGGGTCTACATAGTTAATTCAAGGCCAGCCTGAACTACACAAGTGGGACCTTGTCTCAAAAAAAATAAATAAATAAACTGTCCTGTGTTAAAGTCTATAGAAATAAACTGTCCTGTGTTAAAGAAAATCTGTGATCAGGACTCCATCTGCCTGACCCTTTTGTATACTTAAAAATCACAGGATAACGATGGCCTTGATCCACAGTTGAAAGCCATGACCGTCCGCACACTTTGACATTTTTTGACATTTTCAGGATGTCACTGGAAAGCTTGATCACACACCTTCAATTACATAATAAACCTATTACCAGGCTGCTTCCATTATTCCTCTCACACATTCAAAACTTCGCAAAGGTGGCCAGATCTAAAAAGGATAGGTCTCATAAAGACAAAGTTCGTTCATACAACATGCAGCACCACAGCAGATCTTCACCAACACAAAGAGTTAAAGTATTCATCTGCTCTTGTCACAACAAAGAAATACCTTAGTCTTCTACAAATCTCCCAGGGACTGGGGATATAGCTCAGTGGCACAAGTGCCTGTCTGGCAAGCATATGGTTGTGAGTTTAACCACCAATACCAAAAAAATCCAGAATAATCCAAAAAAATATTCAAAGCTTTTCCATTTTTATTTTTGAATTCTTCAATTTCATCAATAAATATCTTATACAGCCTATGAAGTTCATCTATGGGCTTTTTTTTTTTTTTTTTTTTTGCTTTTCTATATTTTCCTTTTGGCTATCACATGTGCCAGGTGTTAGGTAAGGCTCCTTTACATATACAACATCCTCTATGAATCTGGTTACTGTCTCCTGTAGGAATTAACAATGCTAAAATCAAAATGATCTCACCACTAACTTAGATCATTTGAGTTTTTCCACACCCCATGACAATGCAACTCCAAGATCCTCACATCTATGAAACAATACTTGCACTATGAAATCTTAAGTGCACAATTATTTATAAATTCTTTTGTTCTGTGAACACTTTTAAGAGGGATCAGATAAATTAAGTACAAAGCAATTTAAAAAAAAATTAAAGCTGGCAGTCAGGACACTGAGTCAGGAAGGAGAGTCTGAGGCCAGTGTGGGCTCCCCAGTGAGACCCTAGCTCAAAAAACATCAACACTATGTATTTAGGGTCAATAGAAAAACAGAGCTAAAGTCATATCTGTGCTCAATGATAAGTCACAAGTAAGAATAATCCCCATATACACCAAGATTGTGGTTCTAGGGCTGGGGATTTAGCTCAGTGGCATAAGGGCCTGCCTTGCAAGCACGTGGTCATGAGTTCGATCCCCAGTACCAATAAAAAGAAAAAAAAAAAAGATTATGGTTCTACCATGCAAGATAAAAACCTTACATTAAAAAGTAATTTTAAAAGAAACAAGTATTTTAGTACATGATTCAAAATAAAGCTTCTACATATGTCAATACGGAACATTTTAAAAGTTCCCTTGTAACTGACCTTTTTTTTCACTCTTTTGCAGAACTAAGGGTTGTATCCGAGACCTGGTACATGCTAGGTAAGCTACTCTACCACTGAGCTACATTCCTAGCCCCTTTTATAAATATGTTTAGGGACCAAACATTTAGCTCAGCAGTTTAAAGCACTTGCCTGGTAAACACAAGGTTGTAAGTTCAATCTCCGGTACCAAAAAATAAAAATAAAATAAAAATATTTTTTTGAGACAGTACCTCACTAGACTTGCCAAGGCTGGCCTTTAACTTGGAATCTCCCTGACTCAGCTTCCTGAGCTGCTGAGATTACAGGTTATGTATAACCACTCCTGGCTGTAGCTGGCCTTTAAACCCAGATAATGCTCAAGATGATTATACACTTTCCCTGATAATTCAACAAAACAAAAAAAGGCAACAGAAAGTCAATTCAAGGTGAAAGAGGTTTGTGTAGACACAAATGAAACGTCCAAGAACATAATACACACAGCATCTATCCCAAAATCTAAACATAGTAACTTACCTGTTTCTGAAATGTAGGTAACAGGATCCTGGCGTAAAATTTTACCAGGTTTAGACTGTAGCAATTTTTCTGATGGTTTTTTGACATTTTTCACCTGTACTGTTTCCTCTGCCTCTGACTCTGTATGTGAAAGGAAAACAAAGTTTTAAAAGGAAGTACTGTAACAGCACTTTTTTCCTACCCCCATCCACACACACTGGGTACTTGGGACTGAACCCTGGGATTCTCACCGCTCACTGATATTCATCCCCAGCCCCTTTTTTCACTCATTTTACTGACTTTCTTCAATTCTGACACAGGGTCTTGCTAAATTGTCCAGGCTGGGCTTGAACTTGTAATCTATCTTCCTGCTTCAGTCTCCCAACTTCTGGGATTACAGGCAGGAGCCAATCACACCTAGCTTTTTGTTGTTTGTTTTTTCAGACAAGGTCTTGCTATGCAGTTCAACTGGTCTCGAACTCACAGCAATGCCCCTACCTCAGCTTCCTGAGTGCTAGGATCACAGATGTAGGCCACCATGCCAAGCAGGCTCAGTATACTTTTAAGTAGTTATTTCAAACCAGTTCCTCATGGTCCCTTTCAAGGCACATGTCCTGTGAACTTTACTCAGATATCTATTAGCTTCCTACTGCTGCTATAACAAATTACCAAAAACTCAACAGCTTAAAACACCAATTTATTATCTTAGCAGCTGTGGGGTTAAAGTCTGATGTGAGTCTCACCATGTCAACACTGAGATGTTGCAGGGCTGTGCTCCTTACTGAATGTCCCAGCAAGAACCCACCCCGACTCTTCCAGTTTCTACCTCAGCAGCTGCCAGCTTTACCTGGGGCACCACCCCTTCCTCCACTTAAGGCCAGTGGCTTCAGGAGAGCCCTCATGCTGCCTCTCTCCTTCTCTGACCCTTCACACTGATCATCACTACAACAGCTCTTCCACCTCCCTACCTCCTGCAGAGTCTACCTGAACAAGCCAGAATAAGCTCCCTGCTGCGACTGTTTCCATTTTTGTCCTTTGTTATTTCAAGTACAGCTTTTATTTCCTCTTGCCCTGTAATGTATTATATGCATGGGTCCCACGAACTGGTGTGTAGATCTCAGGGGGTTTGGAGGGAGGTGTTCATGACTGTGTAATTGCCCAGACTACCTAATATACACCAGGACAAAGTACAAACACCAATCATAGTTAGTGTCTGGTATAAAACAGTTATTTCACGGGTATGATAGCACATACCTATTATCCCAGCACTAGAAAGCTGAGTCATGGCCAGGAGTTCAAGGCTAGCCTAGACTACATAGTGAGTTCAAAACCTGAGCTACATAGTGAGATCTTGTCTCAAAAAAAAAAAAAAGTTTCATAAATTTATTCTTGGGGCTGGGGATTTAGTTGAGCAGCATAAGCGCCTGCCTGGCAAGCGCGGGGTCATGAGTTCAATCCCTAGTACCAACATAAATAAATAAATAAGTAAGTAAGTAAATACATTTACTCTCCTTCTTCCTCTGTACCACGCACTTCAGACTGCTTGAACCTAGAATGCAAGCCTGCACAACATAGTGAGATTCTGTCTCAAAAAATAACAAAACAATACTTTTAAAGAGAAAAAGTCTTGACAATGAAGTCTTGACAAAAAAAAAAGTCTTGACACCAAAAAATAAAAATTAAATTTTAAAAGTAAAAACTTTAGTAGGAACTAATGGCTCACATCTATACTCCCAGCTATTCAGGAGACTGAGGCAGAAAGATCACTAGAGTTCTGGCTTTAAGGCCACCCTGGGCAATACAGCAAAGCTGGGGCTGAGGATTCAGCTGAGTGGCACAAGAACCTGCCTGGCAAGTGCAAGGTCATGAGTTCGATCCCTGGCACCAAAAAAAAAAAAAAAAAAAAAAAAGCTAGGGTCTCCAAAACTAAAACAGCTGGGGATGTAACACTGTAAATCACTGGTCTGTTGTGCAGTCCTTCCCACCACCATGAGTAAGTAAATATACTAAAAATAAAAATTAAAGAAAGAAAAATATCACACAAGATGGATCTTCTCCACAAAAAGTGAAGCTTTCTAGACCAGTCTGTGCATCATCAAAGGCATGGTCAGGAACTGGGTACAGCTCAGTGGCACAGAACCGGCCTAGTGGTAGCCCTAGTCTGACCCCAAACACACAGAACAATGAAAAACAAACCATACTCAAACCATATGTAACACTTACATACTCTGCCTCCCTCTAAATAACCCTTTCACATGTTAATATATTTAGCTTCTATGTATTCCAGTTAAATAAAGTTGTTTTAAACTTTACTTGAGCTATTAATATCACAGAGCTGCACATCTCAAACATCAGTATGGAAAACAATATCTAAGGTATATAAAAGGATTTTAAAACTTGAAAGCTTCTCAGAAGAAATGTTACCTGAATCATAGATGATCCTCTTTTTCTTGTTAGGTTGCTTTTGTTTGGAGACATCCTCTTTATAAGAGCTATTTACCTATAAATATGATAGTAGAATTAGAATACAAAGTCCATACAATTGGTCCCTATTTTTTCCACACTGGATCTGGGCTTAGTGGTTCTCCACTGGGGCAATTCTGCCTACCAGGACACATCCTTAATATCTAGAGATATTTTTATCACAAATGAGGAGGGAAGAATGTTACTGGCATTACTGACATGTAAATGGACAGGGGAAGCTACTAAACATCCTTTGGGGTGGGGGGGGGCACCAAGATAGCCCTCCCAAAAAAAGAGCTATCTAGCCCAAAATGTCAAAGCTCTCAGTGAACTAAAGAGTAGTCTAGCCAATAACTACATTAGGATAAAGGAAAAAAGTACGGAAAAGTTATATATTATTCAGCTCCATTTCCACACAAACCTGTGTATGACAAAGGCTAGAAGGATATCAGATATTACAAAGTACTATCTTAGTGAACTTAGTAAAACCCTGGCTCCAAAAACAAAAAAGGTAAAAGGTCTGGGGCTATAGCTCAGTGCAAAGGTCCTCAATTCAATCCCCAGTGCCTTTTAAAAAAACAAAGGGGGGTGAGGAGGTGGCACATACCTATAATCCCAGCACTCTGGGAGGCTAAAGCAGGACAGTCTCAAGGTCACACTCAGCTTGGGCAATTTATCAAGACCTTGTCACCAAATGAAAAATAAAGAGCTGAGGCTAATAATAGCTTAATGTGATGGCCTCGAGTTCAGTCCCCAGTACTGTTAAAACAACAACAACAACAAAAGCTAAACTCATAGCCCAGCTTTAACCAATGCCTATTGGAAAATTAACCCAAAGCAAAAGGTATTTATATTCTATAGCTAACCAACACATTTCTAACACTCAGTTTTCCCCCAAAAAGCCTCAAAACCACAAAAAAACTGATTGTAATGAACTAAAAGGTAAGAATATAAGGTTTTTATTTCCATTATATTAAAGCTTTAGAAGCATAAGCTCAATCAGCTTGCAATAAAATAGAACAAATGAACCATTATAATTTATATACATGAGGACAGTTAGAGGCAATCAAAATAACTCAAAAATGAGACAACCATAATTCAAAAAGAAAAGAGCCATAAAAAAGGACTCCTAGGGCCAGGGATTTGGCTCAGCAGCATAAGCGCCTGCCTACCTTACAAGTGTGCGGTTGTGAGTTTGATCCCCAGTACCAAAAAAAAAAAGGGACTCCTAAATTCTGCCTATACACTTTGGACAAATTTCATGCTTTCTACCACACTACATATGTGGAATAATGGAATAATTCCTAGTGCTTAGCTAAAACTACCCCTTAGGACATAACACTAGGTTACAGCAACCCACCCCACATTTTTCTACTGTCAATTGTACTTTAGCATAACAGTAGCCAGCTGTGCATCTCAGTAGCTGCACGTGGGGAATACAGGAAACAATCTTCCTGTTTACCCACTTGGTACACTAAACAACAACTTGTCTGTATGTGTGCAAAAGTGGCATTTTATGGGATTTTACCCATAAAATGTTCCAACAGATTTTACAAATGTTTACCTGGGCATTACTAGGGGTAAAATTCACCCACACTACTCTTCTGTAAACATGTGTTTTACCATAAATGGAATGTGGCTTGACTTCCAATAGCTGCATCTGGAGAAAGCAAAAACTCACTTGTGCATTCACCCACTTGGCAGATGGAAGTCAAGCTGTGTGCAGGAGATACAAAGCAGCAACGGTGAGCTCTACTCATGAAGTGCTTACTGATCAATTTCTCTGCGTTTAAGTATTTGTTTTTAAGTAAGTTTTCTTTTGGTTTTTCAGGTAGAAGTAGCCCAATTCAGTGCACATTTGCAACTTTTGGAGAAGGTCAAAAGTGAATCATCAGATCATTCATGCACTGATGATGAAGATGATAATGACTTTGATGTTAGTCATGTGAGGCAAAGTTCCTGTGACAGTGAAAAGGAGCAAGAATGGACCAATACCAGCAAAAGAATGCAGACATCCTTGATTTAGAGGATGAAGAAAACAAGTATCTATTTGACTAGTAGAAATGGTACAAAATGGTTACAAACCAAATGGAATAATCCAATGTTAGAACTAGAACAGTGAGGATTTGGCAGGAGTGAAACCTACTGGATGAAATGCTAACACTACCATTCAATGTTGGAAATTATAATGGACAAAATGTTACAAGATATGGTAAAGTACACAGATGGTGAAATACAAGTAAAACATTCTGTATTCACCAATAACCATACTCAAAATGTATTTATTATGATACCTCACTAGCAGAACTGAAACTTTTCATAGGTTCTGCTGTACTTAGCAGGGCTTTCTCACTATAATCACAGGAAAGTAAAAGATTCATGGAAAAGCTAAGGGTGTCGACTTGAGATACATAGAATAATGATGACATTGAGATTTGATTTCATCCAAACTGCCTGAGGTTTGATGAGAAAACCATTCACTAAGAAAAAGAATTGATAATCTGGTTGCTATCTGCTCATAGTTTGAGAGATTTGTGGGCAACTGTCAAGCAATTTACACACCAACTGAATACATGACTACTGATGAGCATCTTGCAGCATTTCATGGTCACTGTAGCTTCAGCCAGTACATTCCAAAATACCTTCAAAACGTAACATGAAAATGTATGCCCTTATAGGTGCAAACATTGTTTTTTTTTTTTTGTACTGCGAATCGAACTCAGGACCTCATACCTGTCAGGCAGGCACTGTAGCGCCGCTTTGAATTTAGAAATTTATCCTGGAACTCAGCTACAACTACACATATAGTAATAAACCAAATGATGTTGTGAACAGATCTGTTACTCCCATCTCCCAAACAGAATATGACATTTGACAATTGGTTTACCAGTTTCCAATTGATGTTACATTTACTAATGGAGCACAAATTGACCAGCACAGGAAATATACACAGGAACAACACAGAAATTCCAAACGAAATGTTACAATTTCAAAACAGAGAATCAATAGTATAAATCTTTGGATTTCAGAAAGATTTACACTGGGCTCTTATATGGCAAAGAAAACCCTGCACCATGATGAAAATATTAATAGGGAAATCTCAAGCCAGGTGTTGTGGTGCAAGCCTGTAATCCCAGCACTGAGAGGCTGAGGCAGAAGGATCACTGCAAGTTCCAGACCCACCTAGCTACAAAGTGAGTTCAATGCCAGCTCAAACTGCACAACAAGACCCTGTCTCAAAAAAAGAAATCTCAACAAAATGAAAGCATGAGATGGTAACATTCTAAGACAAAACATAAGGTAGAAATCTCAACAAAATGAAAGCATGAGATGGTAACACTCTAAGACAAAACATAAGGTGGAGATGTTGATGAGTTATGCAACAGTTATGATGTCACTCAAAACACAAAGCATTGGCCAATGGCTATGCTTTACTCAATCCTAAATATGTGTACCATAATTAGTTTGATAATTTATGAAGAAAATAACAAGCACAAAATATCACAGAGAAATTTTCCTAGAAGACTGGGACCAGAACTCATATGAAATGATTTACAGCAGAAAAAAACACATTTCTGCCCAAGGAACTACACAAAAAATCTGTGGAGCACACTGTCAGCTCAGGTGAACAAGCAGGCGCAGCACTTCAAAGACCTACTACAAAAACAGGAAAAAGAAAAAAAAGATGCAACTGTGTCCTACAAGAAAGGCACGAAGGCTAGGGATACAGCTCTGTGGCACAGCGCCATCTGGCAAGCGCAGGTCGAGCTGAATTCCTGGTACCAAAAAAAAAGAAAAGGACAGGAAAATAAAACACATGTGTTATCAGTTAAGTAACAAATATGGAACGTGTAGTTGTCACGTGTGAAGACTAAGCAAAGATTATTTTTGTTGTAGAATTCTATTGGTATTTGCATTTTAGTTCCTACAGGAATTTATTTCTGATGTTACATTTTAGTTTTTGTAAGCAAGTACACAGCTGATTTGAAAATGTTGACATTTATTCTAAACATGCAATACATATTAAGAATTCAATACTTTGCTTTATTGACATTTTATGTTCCTGTTAACTACACATTACATGATACCAACCTCCTGACAAAACAGCAAAACCAGCAAGACACCATGTATGTCCTACAAAAAAGGCCAGGAAGGCAAAACACATGTGCTATTAGTATAAGCAATACATGTGTATGGAATGTGCTATTGTCATGTGTTGACTGCCTTATGTGTGACAACTGAAATAAAGATTTTTTTGCGGAGTTCTATTGGTATTTTCATTATAGTTCATACAGGAATTTCTTTTTTATTTTTTGGTACTAGGAATCAAACTAAGGACCTTTGTACTTGCCAAGCAAGTGCTAGGAATTTATTTGTTATTTTTTAGACTTTGTTCACCAAAACACAGACAATGTTGAAAAGTTTGATGATGTTTTATAAATATTCAATATTAATATTAAAAATTCAATCTTTTTTGATAGTTTTCCTGTTAAATATTCAGTTTAATAAAACTCATAAAATCAAAAATAATTCATCAGTAGAAATATTCTGAAAAATAAACGTGGGTATTACAATATGTCTTTATGACAAAATTGATCTTATGCCCCAGGGACTATAAAAACTGAACACAGATTTCAGCTGCCACGCATTACAGAAGAGGCAAGAACTTGGAGATTGAGTTCAGTCAAGTTAACAGCCTAGTAAACCAAAATAAAAAATGCGACCTGTGGCAATTAATTCTGTGTCAACTTGACAGGACCACAAGGTGTCTGAATATTTGGTAAAGGTGTTTCTGTGAGGGTGCTTCCGCACAAGCTTAGTATTTCAATCACTAGACTAAGTACAGCCGACAGCACTTCCTGATGTATTTAAGCCTCATTGAAGAAAGACAAAATTTTAGGTGGCCATGGGTAAAATGTAATGGCCTAAGTGTCTGCTGCCAAAATTCACACACTGAAACCCTAACCCTCAGGGTGGCTGCAGTTAGAGATGAGACCGCCAAGGTAGTAACTGAAGTTAAATTAGATCTTACCGGTGAGGCCCTAATCTGACAGGATGTGCACCCTTATTCGAACAGACACCAGCACACTCACTCTCTCCCTCTTCTTGATGACACGCACTGAGGAAAGACTACGGAGGACACAAGGAAAAGGCAGCCATCTGTGCAAGCCAGAAAGAGAGCCCTCACTTGAAACCAAATCAGCTAAAACTCTGACCCTCGCTCCCACAACTAAGCTAAATAAAGTTCTATTGTTTAAGCCACTAGCTCCACAGTATTAACTCTGTTACGGCAGCCAGAACACATGACCCATAGCCAAGAGCAAAGACCAACAGAGACCAATCACAACACAATCTAGATATCAGCATTAGCAGGCCGAAATTTTAAAGCAGTTATTGTAACTAGTTTCAAGCACATAAAAGAAATAAAACATAGCCATGCAGAGTGTTGCACACCTGTAATCCCAACATGCTGGGAATCTGAGGCTTAAGGATTATAAATCCAACACCAGTCTGGGCAATTTATTGACTTAGCAAGAATCAAGTCCCTTACAATATTCTGTTCCCCAAACAGGAACCAACGAACATGATTCTCTCCAGCTGAATAAATGAACTCCCTGTAGGGCCTGCTTCTAAGCCCTGCCAGATTCTCATAACACCTATGTACATAAGTAGGGTACCTTGACAGATTCACTGCTGAATTCTACAAGAAGTTTAGAGAAGACCTAATGCTGCTTCTCAAAATTCTATATCCAGCAAAAGTGTCCTTCAAACATGAAGGCAATGGCCAGGCATGATGGTGCACACCTGTAATCCCAGCACTCGGGAGGCTGAGGCAGGAGGATCACTGTGAGTTTGAGGCCAGCATGGGCTACGAAGTGTAGTTAAAAGCCAGCCTGAACTACACAGAGAGACCTTGTATCAAAAGAGAGAGAGAGAGAGAACGAACAAGAGAGGCAAAATAAAGACATTTTCAGATAAATGCAAACACAGGCTCCAACATCAACAGAACTAGACTACAATAAACACTAAAGAAAATCATTCCAATTGAAGGAAAACAGTATTAGACGAAAACCCATCTTCAGTGAGGAGGGAAGATCAGTGGATATGATAATGTAAGTAAATTTATAAGAACATTTCCCTCTTTAAAACACACACGCCTATCAACAGCAAACTCACAGAGAACTGTGGAGGATGAATATGTGCACATGTGAAACATCTGAAAAGCAGGGTGGAGCGGTGATAAATGCACTTATAGAACCGTTAGGTCTGTACATGCTACATGAAGTGGAAAAACGTTCTTTCAAACGCCTGCTTTCCACAATGACTGCTGAGGCCTGAGGAGGAAAAGCAGGGGGGTAAGGAAGCAAAGCACCCCTCCACAGCCTCCCTCACCACAAGTCTAACAGCTGTCACTTTCTTGAGCACTGGGGTTCTCGGCTCTTTTTCTTTTTGCCTTTTTGAGACAGGGTCTCACTATGCAGTTCAGGTTGGGCCTTGAGCTCACTTTGTAGCCCAGGCTGGTCTCAAACTCCTGCCTCAGCCTCCAGAGTGCTGGGATTACAGGCGTGAGCCACCACGCCCCGCTGTGCCTTGGTCTTAAAATGCAAAGTTCTTCTAACAACTAAAAGGTTTCTAGCTCTACACTAAGAAAACAAGGTATGAATGTAGTGCTCTACATTTATTAGAAATAATACTTTCTTCTTCTGCTACAGAGTTAAAATCTGCATTTACTTAAGGTTCCCAACATAGCAAATTTAGGAGCTAAGATCATTTAACACCTCATAGAAGGCAAAAGTGCTTCTGGGCGACTGACCTTAATTTCCTTTATTCCTTTCTTTGCTTTCAAAGTTTCTTCAGCAGATTTCGTTTTCTCATTCTTCTTTACTGTTTCATTTACAAGCTTCTTTCCACTTGGTACAACTCCAAAGAACTTCCGAATGTCCTATGAGCAAAGAAGATTAATAAATATTATCTGCATAAAATTCTAGTTTAAACAACAAAGTAGCCCAGCTTTTTTACCCAGACACTGCACAACATCTTCGTATCAGGAACTCTGTGTATGTAGCAGCAACATTTTTTTGTTTGTTTGTTTGTTTGTTTGTTTTTGGTACCGGGAATCAAACTCATGACCTCATGCTTGCCAGGCAAGCACTTACGCCACTGAGCTAAATCCCTGGCCCAGCAGCATCATTTTTATGCATAAAAGCTACCTGAAAAAAATTATCTGACTTAAAAAATAACCTGCTTAGCAAAAAGCAGTTTTAATACTCAGATATACCAAAAAAAAGGACAAAAATAAGCAAGCCAGATTTCTCTTAATGATAGCACTGCTATAAAGAGGCAAGTCAGCCTTTATCAACCACATAAGCACACAGATAACCCAGCATCCCAAGCACAGTGGAGACGAGACACAGAGCTGAAAAATGTGACCCATATCCATGGTGTTTATATTGAGGAACTCATTCTTAGTATCTAGGAATCTTGAAATTATTTTCCTTTACCCCAAGTTCTGAAAAAAAAAAATATATGATGCTTATTACAATAAGGTATGAGGTACAAGGTACGAACGTAGTGCTCTTCGGTGTTTTGTTTAGTTGAACAAGTGATTGAACCCAAGTAGCACTGAGCTGTACAACTTCAGTCCTTTTCTTACTTTATTTTGAGATAGCGTCTCACCAAAATGCCCACACTAGTCTTAAATTTACAATCCTCCTGTCTCAGCCTCTGGAGTTACTGGGATTAGAGGTATGGACCTCCATGCCTGACATGCCTTTTTTTTTTTTAGAAGCAGTTTATATGGCTCACAGTGTTTAATTATGGTACCTTCTATGCCAAACCACAGAATTCAAATTAATCAACTGCCTCTACTCAGGAGGCTGAGGCAGAAGAATCACTGTGATACCAGCCTGGGCTATAGCCTACATTACAGAGCAAGACTGCGTCTCAAAAAAAAAAAGACTTCAAATTAATCATACTGAACTTTACAATGTAACTTACAATTAAAATCACTGATTTTTTATTATCTTTGATATACCATACATATATGCATGTATATGCTTTATATGTATACATATGCTTTATTTATATATATAGACAGAAGTCGGGGAGAGATTCTTCCCTACTTTTCTAGAATTTACTTTTGAAGAAACTATAGTATAAAAGAAAGAGAACAGACCTAAGAATCAGAAAGCCTTGGTGTGAATCTGTGCTCTAGTGCTTTCTACCTTCATGATCTTGGGAAAGTTACTTTCTTTTTGTCCATTTTCTCATAAACAGAGTGAGATTAATTACATCTGCCCTTTTTGAAGATTAATGATGCATCTATCTATCACAATTTTGGCTCAGCAAAAAAACCTTCTCTTCATTTCTAAACTATTACCATTCACATCACTTCTGAAACATCTGCATTTATAAACTGCTTATACCCAAGGGTACAAAGAACATAAAATGAGAACTTAGGAATTTAATTTCAAAAAACAGCTGAACCATTTTTCCTTTTCCTGTCCTTAAGTGTATAATCCTGAATTCCCAATATTTTCCTTACAAACTATTTTTGAGAAATGACTACACAAGTACTTTGTGAAATAGAAAAAAGTTAGCAATTAAATTTTTAGATCCTAGCAGTAATTGTGACACCGTTACACTGCCAAAAATCCAAACAAGTATGTTACATCCACAAACACAAACAGCTTTGGGGCTAAGCCAATAAAAAAAGTAGACAAACTAATAGGGTATGTTAATTTAGAGAGAGAGATAGATTAAAGACCTCCTTGGAGGTCGGGGTACATGCCACCCAAGCAATGCCTTGGATTTTATTCCTATACATTAGATTTTTTTGTTTTGCTTTGTTTTGGTACTAAGGTTTAAACTCACAACCTAGCGCTTGCCAGACAGGCACTTATGCTGCTGAACCAAATCCCCAGCCTCTCCCCTTAGTTTTATAACCTTTTTTGTAAATCTCCTACTATAAAAAAGTTTAAATTCTATTATTTAAATCTACAAAATATTGCTCAGAAAATATACCTCAGCTATGAAACGGAAACATCTGTTGTCAACTGCTAAAGATAGCAATCCTTGTTACTTACTGTCATGGTTTATGTCTGTGTCCCCCAGGCCTCATGAGTTTGCATTGTGTACTTGTGATTGATTTATTGTGTAGTGCTTGGATTGATGGTGTCAGTGCTCCACCCACTTAGGGGTGGAGCCAGGATGTGATGTAATGGCAGGAAGAAGGTGTGTCTCGCTCTATGCTGGTTCCAGCTTGCTGTTTGCAGCCGCCATGAATGGTGGCCCAGTCATGCCCGCCTGCCTTGGAGCCAACTGAGTGTGGACTGAAACCTCCAAAAACTGTAAGAAATAAACCTTTCCTTTCCCAACTTTGGGCTTCAGGTATTTTGTCTCAGCGATGAGTAAAAAGAAACTAAGACACTTACAAAGAATTGAGTTTGAGGTGGACAGCTATTTTATTGCTTGTAGAAGAAATGAGAGTTTAGTATCAGTTTCACTTTTTTGAAATTGACCCATGATGCTTCCACTTAAATAGGGGTGATCACAAAAACACAGAGAAGAAACAGGCAGAGAAAGAATAGATGTGACATGGAAATAGCAAAGCTCCAATAAAGAAGTTAATAAAGCAAGCAGTGGTTTTCAATCCATTTTTGGACCCCAAAAACCTCATAACTGCAAAGAGAAAGAAAACTAAATAGAATTCAGGAAATAAAACAATTGGTAACACATAGTGCTGGGTTTTGGCCTGTACAAAAACTTGCACTGTCCTTTTTCAACACTGCCGCAGCCTCTTCTCCCTAACCCACTCGCCCTGCCTCTGTTCCTGTCTCGATTTATTCCACCCCACAGCCTCAGACACCTAGACTCTGATGGCAGCGTAAGAGTTCAAGAAATTACAGCACCCAAGGGCTAGAGATTTAGCTCAACGGCATGAGCGCCTGCCTTGCAAGCAGGCAGTCGTGAGTTCAATCCCCAGTACCGATAAAAAAAGGAAAAAGACCAAAGAAAAAAAAGAAATTACAGCACCCTGATCTACGGATCTAGTTTTGGAGAAAAATTTTCATCAGAATAAAAGCCATCACACTTATGTGTCTTTTAGAACAATGTCAGCAGCTGTCTTATAGAAACATCTAATAGGCAAAAGTCAGTCTTCCAAGGAACAAGTCTAGTAGCTAATCATATAACCAAATGATAAGTTTACACCCAATGAGTAGAAAAAGGAGCAACTTTTTAAATTGGTTTTTTATAATCTTAGCAATGGGAAAGTTTTCTAAGCAGAACATCAAGCTAGAAACTAAGAGGCCAAGCACGTGCCTCTAATTCCAGCACTATGAAAAACTGAGACAGGTGGATCACAAACTCAAGCCCAGCATGGGAAGCTTGGTGACTTCAGTGAGATCCTGTATCAAAATAAAAAAATTTTAGAAGGCTGAAATGTAGCTCATGCAAAGCCTTGGGTTAAATCCCTAGTAGCACTAAAAAATAACAACAAAGGAAATTTTTAAAAAGATATTTTGGCCAGGTCTGGTGGTACATGCCTATAATCCCGGGGCTGGGGATTTAGCTCAGCGGCAAAAGCGCCTGCCTTGAAAGCAGGCAGTTGTGAGTTCGATCCCCGGTACCGATAAAAAGGAAAAAAGACAAAAAAAAAAAAAAAAAAAACCAAAACATGCCTATAATCCCAGTAGGCTGAAGCAGAATCACTGTAAAACCAAGGCCAGCATAGCTACATATGCAAGTTCCAGGCCAGCCTGAACTACAGAGTGAGACCCTGCCTTTAAAAAAAATAATAATAATTTTCAGGAGGAGAACCAAAAAAGATGAACTTTTTTTTTAATGATTACAGACTGGACAAACAGGTCAATTCAAGCATTCAAGCAAGGCAAAAGATTCAGGCAAAGTCATACAAAAATAAAAACCAACTGAGTGTGGCAGCACACATCTTTAATTCCAGTACTCTGGGAGGCTGAGGCAGGAGAATCATGAGTTTAAACCCAACCTTGCAGACTTAGCAGTTTAGCAACTCATTGAGACCCTGTCTCAAAATAAAAAAGGGTTAGGGGGACTGGGGATTTAGCTCAGCAGCATAAGCACCTGCCTTGCAAGCAGGCAGTCGTGTGTTCGATCCCCAGTACCGACAAAAATGAAAAAGACAAAAAAAAAAAAAGGGGCTAGGGATTCAGCTCAGTGAGGCGGCTTTGGGTGCAATCTCCAGCACTGCCACAACAACAAAAAATCTAGCAAAAGTAACAAATAATAATACGTAAATTTTACACACTTTACTTACACTAACTAGACAGGTTTACGTCTCTTGATAATCCTGTGAGGTAGACAATACAAATACAATTAGGATACACCCCCATTTCAGAGATAAACACATGGAACAATTAAGTCAGTCAAATGCACACTTCCTGCCCTTTTGCCACCTACTAAGGGACCCTTGGGCCCGCTAGGTCATTTCTCTGTCCCTCTGTTTCCTCAGGACCTCACAGAGTGCCAGTGACAGTCAGAGGCAGCACAACAAAAACCTCCAGAAAGGAGACAAGACCTCCCTATTTTGTTCCATGTTCCCAACCTGACTGTGACTGTGTTCTCAGCGCTCCTGTTAACACTGTGGGCGTCTTCCAGGACCCCAACACGGCCCATCCTGACATGCTTCCACACAGGCATGGTGCCAGGAACTTGAACGCAAGGGGCGCCTCCCTTCAGAAAAAACGTCCTCAGGAAGTCACTGTGAGACAGATGAGCACTGCACCTCACGGCAAACAAGACTGTGCTGGGCCAGGGCCACCAGTGAGGCTGAGACCAGACACCACTCACGCGGACCTCAGAAGCAGTCGCTCAACATCACTAGCAGGAGATATGATACGCATAGAAATTTAAGTTCAAAGACATTTCTGTGAATTCCATACAGCAATAGAAGTTGCTTAAGAG